TGCTAGGCTCCACGGAAACAGAGCTCCGGATGCTCTGGACAAGCGCGCCACCAAAATAGGAACTTCGTAGATACGTCTTATTAAATTATCGCTCGAAGACGGGAAGAGGTAGGCGATGGATCAGGTCGCCAAACTCCTCTGAATCTCACACAGGGTTTCTATTACCCTGCCGTGTACCCAGAGTCCCCACAAGATGGATGTGGAATCCTCTTCGGCTTGGGCGGAAACCGCTCAAGCCTCTTATACGGCTAACAGGCCAATCGTTAGCCCCCACGTGGGAATAATTTAGAACTAGCCAATAGCGGGGAACAAATTTGCATGCGGGTGGCGGGAACTCCTTTGCACCGTGCATTTCTCTTGCAACTTGAGCAATGCACTCTGCAAAGGAAGCTACAAATAGGCGGGAAACTCTTCCTTGCACTGGGGTTCTCCTCTGCAGCAGAAAACTTCACCGTGCAACGAAGCTGTAATTTAGCGGGTATAATTCTAGTGCCGAAGCGCACACAAAATCATACCTTTGGGTTATGACAATTTCCTGCACCACCCCCCCCACCCTCACCTGTCAGGCATATCAAATTAATGCTTGTGATTTTTTTCTTTCTCTCCCCTAATGTGTACAATTTTTCCTTCTCTCTCCTATGGCATCATCAACGTCATCAGCCATCATCAGTGGCAAAAGTTATTTTTCAGTTTCAAACCAAGATGCAGAATAGAATAACCTGGTTTTCTTGAACCTATCATGCTAGCTGGTGGTATAGATAACAGTATAGTATTTTCTTAATAAACTAAGAAGTTATGAGACAGTTGCAAGGAGTTGTTATACTGTGTAACATGCTAACATTTTTATTTAGATTTTTTTTCCCCACAATAATTATGCTTGGCAGTAGAATCTTACTGTACCAGTTCTAGATGTATGCCCATTCTCCTACTTCATGTTTAAGGCATTTAATAGTTGTATATTAGTAAAAACATCAAAATATATAGTTTGAACCATAGCAAAGGAGGCACTAAGAATCAGCTTGTTTAAAATGCATTTAAAAGCCAGACATATTTTTTGTGTAAGGTTTCTGATGTATAAATTGGAGTATATTTTAAGAAACAATGTGTCCTGGTAAGGATGAGTATTTTTTTTCCCACATGATGATTCCAGTACATTAGATGGAAATTCTAACTTCTGGGTGTTTATCCAATCCGCTGGCTGAGGAGTGAGTAGTGGGGGTTGTTGGAACCTGGAATTAAAGTGCTTTTGTTTCCTGCCCTCTTCGAAGTGACTCTGTTCTTTGCTGATATGAAGAAGAGATGTTTCTTCTCCTGATATTCATAAACTTTTCTGCTAACAATATGTTTTTTGGGGACAGAAATCTCCCTTCCTTTTTTCTTTGCTCTCTGTCTTGGTTCACCGTTAGACTGCCTTTACATTTAGAATCATGTTTACAGGGATATAGCAGAGACATGGAAACTAATCCTGAAGATTCTTTAGTGTCTGTCAGGGTGTCAGACTTGCCTGGGGCCCCAGGCTGATGTGGACCACAGGACTCCTTGTGAGCCAGATCTAGCCTGGGGTGTGAAGGTTGTCACAGTGGTCACTGTGGTGGTGTTGGCAAGGGGTCTGGCAGCGGCAAGGGATCCTTTAAGGCAAGTCTGTGAGCAGCAGCAGAGAGCTGTGCTTGCTGCCCATGGCCACACACCTCAACTTTCAGTACCCATTGGTAGCCTGTGGGCCATATGTTTGACAGCCCTGGAGTCTACCAACCAAACCATTTCCTTAGTAAGTTTTGCTCATTTTTCTTGGTCTTTGGAAACTTACCAGATTCTGCTCCCCTTCTGGATATATAGAAACAGTAGCATAACTATCACGGGCAGGGGTGAGTGGGGGAGATGTGGAAAAATAACTCCCACTGCACCAGTGGCACAGGGGCAGCTGGAAGTTGCCACTGCCTCCATGTATCTTGGTTGTTCTGGGTACCCAGCTGCCTTTCTCTGTTTCTGTATAGAAGCATGAAATAGTGTTTGCTTGTAGTTTGCTTTAGGTTCACCTAGTCCTTTTGTTGATCAGATGATGCTCACTGTGACTTTCCACTTTTTCAGAAGGGCCTCTAAGATGTCTTCAAAATACAAGCAGCTTTCCTGGACTCCTTCCCTCCTCAGACTGCTCTCCCAGTGATCCTGCCCATCAGTTCCCTGAGGGAGTCGAAGTCTGCTTTTCTTAAGTTCAGGGTCTTTACTCTGTTGCTTCCTTCCTTTCCTCAGGATCCTGAACTCTTATCATTTTGTGGTCACTGCTGCCCAAGTTGCCACCCACTACTACGTTCCCCACCAATTCTTTCCTGTTTGTGAGCAGCAGGTCAAGAAGAGCATGGTCCCTAATTGATCTCTCCAACACTTGCACCAGGAAGTTTTTCCCAATACTCTCCAAAAACTTCCTGGATTGCCTGTGTACTGCTGTATTGCCCCCCACTCCTGATATCCGGGTGATTGAAGAGAACCAGAACCTGTGATTGCGAAAATTCCACTGGCTATTTGAAGAAAGCCTCGTCCAGCTCTTCCTTCTGGTCTGGTGGTCTGTAGCAGACACCCACCATGATATCACCCTTGCTTCATAGATTTCATAGACATTAGGGCTGGAAGGGACTTCGTAAGATCGTCCGGTCCAGCCCCCTGCCCAAGGGGCAGGAAGTCAGCTAGGGTCACAGGATCCCAGCAAGATAGAAATCCAAATGTGTCTTAAAGGTGGCCAGAATAGGTTCTTGCACCACCTCTGAGGGGAGTCAGTAAAGAAGTTTTTCCTTATGTCCAGCTCTCCCCTCTGACCCTAACCCAATGACTTTCAGCAGGCTTGTCTCCAATTTCATATTGGAGCTCTGAAAATCATACAGTTTTTACATACAGTGCAACCCCTCTTTCTGGAACAGTTTATATACCCATCCATGACAGTAATTGAGTCATGCAAGCTATCCTAACATGTCTCTATTATTCCAGTCATGCCATAGTTCTGTGACTGTGCAAGGACTTGCAATTCTTCCTGCTTGTTTCCCAGGCTCTGCATCTGTGTACAGCACCTGAAGTAACTAGTTGATTGTTCTCCTTACTGAGGAAGAAGGAGAAGACCTCTCCTGCTTGTGCTTCCCCCAGGTCATATACTTTCCTACTTACCTCAGGGCTTTGGTCTCTCTCTCCTGGTTTATCTAGTTTTAAATCCCTCCTCACTAGGTTAGGAAGGCTGCCTGTGAAGATCCTCTTCCATCTCTTCATTAGGTGGGTCCCGTCTCCTCTTAGCAGCGCTTCTTGAAACAACATCCCGTAGTTGAAGAAGCCAAAGCCATTCTGGCGACACCATCTGCACAGCCATGCATTGATCTGCAGGCTGTGTCCACTCCTCTCTGGGGCCTTCCTTTTGACCAGAATGATTAAGAACACCACCTAAGCCCCTGTCTCCTTCAGTCTTGGACCCAGAGCTCTGTAGTCACTCTAGATCTGCTCAGGGTTACCCCTGGTGGTATCATTGGTGCCCACATGGGTGAGCAGCATGGGGTAGTAGTTAGAGGGCCAGATAATTCTTGGTAATCCTTCTGTGACATCTCGGCTCTGGGCAAGGATCCTGAGACGGCAGGTCTGGCCAGCAGATAAATGTCTCTACCCACTTGGTGGAAAGGAATCTCCAAACATCACCACCCATTGTTTCATTTTGATGGCAGTGGTCTTGATCCTCCCAACCCTGGGGATGCTTGGCCTGGCCTCTTCCACCCATGGAACGTGCTCCTTCCCCTCTGTTGCTAGGGCTCCATATCTTTTCTCTAGGTGCAAACTGCGGCAGGTGGAGATGAGGACTTCTGCTTGCCCTGAAATGTTTCATGGTGTTTCTTTTAACTTTAGATTGGTAACTTTAATATGCGCAACCACATCTATTCCTGTTATTTTTTTTCCCCTTCATCTGCATTGATACAAACCTGCATATAAAACTTAATTTTTATGTTGGGAGCATAAAAAAGTGTCAGTTCTGCAGTATAAGTCTGTTGACAAAGATATAAATTAGAATCCTGTAACTTCCTTGGAAGTACAGACTCTTGTAGTATCTATTCCTGTGTGGTGATGAACTACTTCGTAGGACTTCCTCATTTTAGTTCCTTTTTATACAAAAAGATTCATTCTTGATCCTGTGGCCTAGTACTCTGTAGATTTGGTATTTCCACTTCAGTGTTTCAACAAGTCCCGTTTTCTCTTTAGGAATTAGAGTTAAATGTTTAGGCGTTTAGTAGGCAGGAATAATTGACATGTTATATTAATTGTACCTAGATATGTGCAGCCCTAAAATCATAAAGGGTTCAACACACCGATAGTACATGCAGGCATAACACTTGGATTGACCTAACTAGGATTAGGTCACTCTAAGTGCCAAATTGTACACACATTCAGGGTCTTTGGATAGGGTGAAAAATGGCCGGCCCAAACTAAATTAGTTCACCTGAGGAGGTGTGCTACATAGATCAGGCTAATCCGTGCCTGAATGTGTGCACATATTTGGAGCTTAGCCCCAGGGCTGGGAAAGCCCAGCTGCTTGCCCCAGCCCTGGGTCTCTGCTTTTTTTTACCTCCTCACCCTGACCAGGATATCTTTTAGGTCTCCAAGTTCTCTCCACCCCCAGCTGGATGACCCTCCCCACCTTGCAGACCTGCTAGCCCCTCCCTTGATCCTGCTGTCCATCCCCCAAACCCCGACTTAATTGTATTTCTGGCATAGCTCCCAGCACCAGTGAATGTGTGCACAACTGGGGACCCAACCGACAGTCATGTTGCTTGAAGTAAGCCGTGTGATCCTAGATCGGGTCCCGGGAACATCTGCATGTGAATGATGTGTCCTTAAGTAGTGCATAGTTTGAGTGCATAGCTTTTTGTTCTATATTGAAATAGTAATTTAAGGTTAATTTGTTTATGCCTGCTACTGATATAAATGATCTGGGCACCTTCATATAAAAAATAAAGGTTTCTCATTTTGACTTTCAGGCTTCTGTTCATTTTACCAGTATCAGAAAGCAGTGAAGTGAAAAGGCATCCTTTGGGAGCCCAGATAACCAAAGGTAAGCATGGATGTTACTGTGACGTACATAGATAAATGCTGTTGGATACTCCGGTTTAATTTTCAGATTGCTTTGAAAACTTTTCCACCACATCTGCCTGTGGTATTACTGTTCCCAGCAGTGACACCCTCAGACATTTCTTGGTTCTCCATGTGGGCTGCCCCAGGAAGCAGCAACAGTACTGTGAGAAGGGTAATTAGTGTGAGGATTGGCTAATTGGCATGGTCATGCAGCAATGCCTGCAGTACCACATAGAGGTGGCTGCACTGCTTCCAGCACAGGAAGTAGCATGAAACAGCATGGCATGTTTGGCAGTGCTGCTGCCAGGTTCATTTAGTTTGTGGTCTAGACATGGCCTTTTTAATAATGATTTAATCTATATACAAAAACTGTAGGCACATGCAGAGCTCTGTTTGACTGTAGCAACAGTCAGTTGTGCTGACAAAAACCTTGAATGTACATATGGATATTTTTTTCAACTTGTGGCTTTAGTCTGCTAGTTTTGGAGAGGCTTGGCCATTGGTCTAACTTTGATTTCCTAAGCAATAAATAGACATCTGCTTTGGGTTATAACATTTCCTGGTAAAAAATTCTGATTATTTTGTTACCCTGACTAATAAATTGGACAACCACAAAATTTAAATGAATGTTTAATAGGTACGTTGTCACTCAAGTAAGTTAGGGAGAAATGGTTTTATCTTTGATTTGATTAGGAAAGTTCTAATATACAAGCCTTTATCATACTCAGCACCAGGACCGTTTACAAACAAAAATGATTTTTTTTGACGTCCCCAAATTATTACTTACTTATTGCCATTACAAAATTGAGCATGTGATAATGATTTTTCTAAAAGCCAGCCCTGCACTAGGATTTTGAAGATCAAGCTGGGTTGTTTTCTCTGAGATATCACAGCTAGCAATGGTGAATGAGAACTTGGTAAACAATCATGTTTGTGTTTGGGAAGTCCAAATCTTGTATTCATGTCAGTGTTGGTGGTATGTTACGAATAGGCCTAATAGCAGTGTTTAATTAAAAAAACAAATGCATTTTTCATTATTTAAATTGGGTAAAAGAATATGAAAAATGCACTGGTTTTTGTAGAATAACTTGTGATATTGTTAATGTTTTTCTAACTGGCTCCTTTTAAAGAACTTGTTTTTGTGTCCTGAATCATATGTATTCTTACAGGGGACTGATAAATCTCTGCAATAACTCTCTTACATAGTTAAAGAAAGAGGCAACACTAAAGGACAACTTACATTAAGCAACACTTCCTAGAAAAGTTTCTGAAACTATACTCGGTCTTACTCATAGTTTAGCTCTGAGTTATTTTTCTGTGACTTAGTCCACCCCCTCCTGCAAGCTTATGTAAAAACAGGACATTTTGTGCATTGTGGTTGATTCCTAAGGGAAAATGCCAAATATATTTTTGAGTCGCAGGAATAAATTATCACCCATAGGAATGATTTAACAGTAACAAGGGGTGAACACCTCAAAAGGTGGAAAAATTTTTCCAGTCTTTCATTTATACTTGATGGTAGCATTGTAAGCAAAAGTTCCTGAGAGTTATATTTTCAGTGCACCACTAGTGCCATGGACTGAAAGCATGCTATAAGGAATCAAAATACCAAGACCTTGCAACATCTGACCTGTCTGTCCTCATTCTCCTGCTACCTTTAAAATTGGAAGCCTTCAACTTCTGATTAAAGGCATGTGGGATTCACTGTATTCAGTGAAATGCCGCAGCTGCCTTCCTGGACCTGCTTCTGGATATACGGGATGAAAAGGAGGATGTGTGATGGTGGCAGAAACCTCACCGTTCATGTACAACGAGCTCCCTGCCCTTGTCTGGCAGCCAGGACCAGAGTTCTTAGTGGCACACTGGCAGTGAAGTGGGGTGTGCACCCACTCTGGATCTTCTGTATCTGCCCAGTGTTTCTTTCATAGGAGCTCTTGATGTTTTCCTGATATGAGAAATCGAGTGTTTGCAAGGAAATGTTTCTTTGCTAAATTTAAAGGAACAAAAGTGGTAAAGAGCACATTTCATTTCCAAGCTTCGTTGAGAATATGGCATTACAGACAAGAGGAGATAATAGATTTGGGGAAATAGAGCTATTCTGATGCTGTCCTTTTTACTTCTTAATTAGAATTTCTCATTTATTTAAACTTCCTCCTTTTTCTTCCCTTTTTGCCTTTCATAGGATGTTGCTTAAAATTATACATACGCTAAAGATGCAATAGCATTACAGTCTGACACCATTCCTAAATACTGTTTCCTTAAAACTGAACGTTACGCAAACTGAATTTTGGACGGTCTGTTTTTGTGGTTAGACACAAAAGAGCTAGCATCCCCAAGTAGACTTATTTGGTGATTATAACCTAGGGTACAGGTAAAGCTTAGTGTGTATTGAAATCCACAGTTTGGCAATTTGCCTTCACTGAAGATTGTAAATGTGAGGTACAGGTATTCAAAGAGCCTGAGGCAGAATTGATCTAAGTTGTGCAGTTTTCTGTAAGCAACATAGTTCAGATTCGTAGTGAACAGAACAGACATTCACCCTTTGATGGGTGGCAAATCTTAGACTGGGTTCTGCCATTTTTAAACCAGTCTGTGCTTCTGTTTTGTTATAGGTCTAGACTGGTTTTGTGTGCCGAACTTCTGTTCAGTTGCAGGTCTGGACCAATTTCTGATCGCTTATACCGGTAAAAGTATAATGTCTGTACCTGGCCTGGATGATTATGGTACTGTTATGAGGCATGGTTGCCAAATCTCATAGTGCTGAGGAATGATGCATTCCTACTGTGCTGGCTAAGTCAAAAATCAAATAATATTTTTTGGTGACTTGGCAAACATTTAGGTTGGTTAAGAGACTGTTTCCTGGAAAAGACAGAACTGAAAATTGAAAGCAGGACCAATACTCTGAAAAACGGTGTTCTTTGTAAAGTTAATTAGGCTGCTAATGGAAATTTGTAGGGGCCTAGGGTTGCCAAAAAAAAAAGTCCCAGTATGTGCTGGAAAAGAAATGTAATGGTGATACAGTAACTTTCCTTTTGTGCCTCCTCACTGTGTATACTCCTTGATTTGGTCCAAAACCAGTGTAATGGATTGTTTTATAGCTTTAGCACAAAGCCCAAGTTAGGAAGTACTTCATGCTGGCTGAACACAGCATCTGATTACCATCTGGTCATCAAATGCTCCCTGCAGCACAATACAGAAATGACTGCTTTGTTAGGGAATGAACTCCCACTGTGTATATGTGTATGTGTGGGGTGGGATGGGATGGGAGGATGGCAGTGGGGAAGAGATTAATTGGAAAAGATTTCTTTCTGGGAACGCATGGAGAACTTTAGACTTCAGTAGTATCCAAAGATTCAGGAAATATTTAATGGAATTTTAGATCACTTGCCTAAATGTTGTCCCTTCTCAAGCCCTTTAGATTCCTGAAGGTTTTGGTACAGTGCAGCAGAAAATAAATTACTTTGTTTTTTTTCTTCTATAGTTTCTTCTTTATTAAGATGATACATTTACAACCAAATTTTGGATTGTAACATCATTTCTGTTTCTCAGTTAAGACTGGATTTTTTTGGGATTTCGAGTGTTATTTCGGTAATAAAAAGTAGGGAGATGTTAAACTTCTATGTTTGTATAGAACTCACTTGAACAGCAACTGCATAAATGTTTTGAGTCCTCTGTAGATGAATGAAATCTGTAATGTGTGTAAACTTGAGGGGATGCCCACACTCTGTGTTGTGTATATACTTTGTTATATACAACTGGGTAGCTTTAGGACCTTAAATTTACAGGAAAAGTAAGTTGAGAAAACAAAATAATAATAATTTTTGTAGGCCTTTTTATTTGGGTCAGTCTCTCAGGGTTTCCCTGTCTTTTCCTTAATACTGAAATATCTCAAAAGTCAAGTTTCTGTTACGGTTCTTCCTTATTTCCTTCATTTAGTTTTTGAAGTAACAGTCTGAGTTCCTCCTATCATCCTTCTTTTGTGTGTATATTTTGTATTAAGGGGATACTTTTGACATGAAATCTAGTTAGGTAAAAAACAGAAATAGATAATGTCTAGATCAGAGATTCTCAAAGTTTTTATGCCTTGTCCCGGCAAACCGCATCCCAGTAGTCACAGCTGACTGCGGCTGGAATTTCCAGCCGGAAGGCAGGTAACCCTGCGCTGCCGTGGGCCCTGCAAAAAGAGCTGCGGCCTCTCTCTGCCTGGCTCTGGCGGGCTGCGGTTTACCGGTCCGCGGCCACTTCTGGACCAGCAGCCCACTCCCTGTGGCCCAGCACTGGGCTGCAGCCTAGGGATTGAGAACCCCTGTTCTAGATGATGTACCTGCATGTGTCATTCTGCCAGGTTTTGTATTGGTGCAATCATGTTTGCCTGATTTTTATCCACATTTGCTTCTCATTGTTCTTCTGTAAATGCTTCCTCCTTTTTGGAGGCATGCACCTTGGAGGCATGCACAAAGGAACTTGTTCCCTCTGACTACACAATCTGAGGAAGAGGCTCTGTTAATTATTTTCTCTTTTTTGTCATAATATTACTTCGTATAATAATAACAGCTAAAAAAAATGTGTTAGTCAAGTGCATATTTTTTAATCCACTTAACTCCTTGTGATCTTTTAAAATAGGCACGCATTCCTCTCTTTCGAACTGGGGTCTCTTCTACATACCCTTGACAATATAATCAAAGTTTTGCATTATTATATTTTCTAATCTCTCAGATATTCATAACAATTATGACTTTTCTCTTGGTAAGTGAATCTTATCCAACAGATTCACTTATCTGTTGGTGGTAAGTGAGAAATTACCACAGATGATTAGAATTTATTTTTGAAAGAAAAATTTAAGAAAAAAAATTAACTTTTTGTAAAATCAGAACTTTCTTTGTGTCCATGTATTATTTTATTTCTGAATTATTTAAAGTTTTGTAAGGGCAATGAAAACTGAAGTATTTCCACTGGGAGAAATGGAGATGGTGAAATAAC